TGTAGCTTGTACAGTAGATGTGGACTTTAGGTCTTCACTGACCAAGTTCAAGTATTTTGATGGGTTTGATGACTTGCTGTGTCTATCTGTGAATGCACCTGAGTCCTTTTTTTTTTTTTTTTGCTTTTTGGGTCACGCCCGGCAATGCACAGGGGTTACTCCTGGCTCTTCACTCAAGAATCACATCTGGCAGTGCTCAGGGAACCATACAGGATGCTGGAAATCAAACCCGGGACGGCTGCCATTTGCCTTGCACGAGGCCAAACTGGTCGACCCAGGTTCGATTCCTCCACCCCAGTCAGAGAGCCCGGCAAGCTACTGAGAGTATCTTGCCCACATGGCAAAGTCTGGGAAGCTACCCGTGACATATTCGATATGCCAAACATAGTAACAACAGTTCTCACAATGTTATTGGGCCTGCTAGAGCAAAATGGATGAACAATGGGAGGACAATGAGAGTGACCTGAGTTCCTTAGATTTCCCATTGCATTTCGAGATTTTTGGATGTTAGTGGTGAGGATTTGATTTAAGGCTGTATACTCTGTTAAATCAGAATGCCCAACATTCCTTTTCACAATATAAGAAATGTATTTGGCAATTCTTTGAGCAGAGATGCTAGGGTCTGCACTGTTAGAGGACAAAGACAAGCTAGGATCAATAACTGACCTGGAGGTGGGGGTCTTACAGTGCAGGGTAGAAGAATGGGGTCGCAAGGCTTTCTTGTGTGTGGCTGTGTGGGAAAGGGAAGTTACAGGCTTCAATGGCACTTCCTCCTTATGCAGGGTCTGTAACAGGACATAGCCCTGGGAGATGCCTCAGGCAGAGGCCAAGAATACTTGGCATGGCGCCCTGTCCCGCCACCCTTGTACATTGAGAATAGAGTAGCTATTATAACGCCAAACCAAGCAGATAGAAAGTTAATAGTTCACCATCCCTAGCCTGCAGAGAAGTTGTTAGGAAATAGATGTACTATGATTTAGTAGATTATGTGGAAATTACACCTTCTACAGAAATTGTACCTTCTACAAATCATTAGAGGATATAAGAATGATCAGACTGTTTTTCAGGGTGTTTTGTTCTTATTTTTAGTTATGATCTATAGAAACTAATTGTTCCCGATTATCCTATGGTTTCTATTTTTGCTATGATCAGAGACATATGCTTTTTGCGATAATCATGAATAACTGTGAATGATTTTACTTGCCAAGAAATCTACAAAAGAATGCTTGAAATAAAGATTGTCTCTGCTGTTCCATGATAACTCAGTCCTCTCAGCCACTTGTTTTGTCTCTTTAAGATCCTCACCTTCCCTCCAAACCTGTTTGACTGCCGGCTGGTCCAGCAGGTACAGGGCAGAAAGATGGAGTCCCCTGGTTTCCCCACATGTGTCTCTGTAAGGTCGAATGGCCAACCATTGATTTTCTTAGAGAAAATCAATATACAGATAGTCTAATATTCACCACAATCTTAGATTTGCAATGAACTTATATATATATATATACATATATATACTTATATATGTAATTCCTGAGTGCATGAACACTCATAATAAAAAAAATCATGAGTGCATGAGCACTCATAATAAAAAAGCACTCATAATAAAATATATATATATTGCTTTTTGGGTCACACCCAGCATTGCACAGGGGTTACTCCTGGCTCATGCACTCAGGAATTATTCCTGGCAGTGCTTGGGGGAACCATATAGGATGTTGGGAATTGAGCCCAAGTCGGTCACATGCAAGGCAAGCGCCCTACCTGCTGTGCTATCACTCCAGTCCTAATTTATATTTTTGGTTGCTAATAAATATTAATATATTAATATTTAGTGGATAGTTAATATTTTCCAGGAAACATTTATTAAATAACTATTATATATCGCTGTATCACTGTCATCCTGTTTGTCAATTTACTTGAGTGGGTGCCTTTAACATCTCCATTTGTCCCAACCCTGAGATTTTAGCAGGCTCTCCTTATTCATCTTTCCCAATGATTGGAGGCTCTTTCAGGGTCAGGAGAATGAGACCTGTTATTGTAACTTGTTTTGGCATATCGAGTATGCCACGGGGAGCTTGCCAGGCTCTGCCCAAACTATTATGTACTAAGAACTATTCTTGATTCTTCTGATATATAAAGATCAAAACTTTGTTCTTTTAACACCCTGTTTACTATTGGAGAGGCAGAAAACAAAGTAATATGGAGCACCAAATCATATAATGACACTTGGAATAAAGAAAATTAATGTAAGGTAGTGATAACATGGTCAAAGGAGAATCTTTAGACACTAACAAAAATATTTTCTTAAATCACTGACTTGATAAATATATATCCAACATAATAAAAGTATGACACAATACTTGTTATGAAATTACAGGGTAAGTCAAGGTATCAGTGGCATAGATACCATACATATATTTATTTAAGCAAAATGTGAATATTGGAGGTACAGTGCCACCAGGAGGTTATCTGTACTTGTGGGGTGAATGCATCAGAAGCCTGATGGTGACTTCAGGCCTCCTGATACCCCCCAAATTTCTGCTGTGTCTCTGTCCAGATCCCAACAACTTGGGACCAAATTTCCCAAGAAATTAAATTGTCAAAAGTTAGGTATATGACAGCCACATCCACAAATCAGGCTCAGTAGTACAAGCTCATTTATCAGCCTAGCTACAGAGACCCATAAATACATCTAGAAAGAGATCAAAACCCACAGTTAATAATGAAATCCCACAAGGCTGCACAGACCAGTGTAAATCAGAGGTGGGGGAGGCAGGTGAGTCTGGTGCCCACCCAAGCAGAACCCCTGGCAGCCACTTGTTCCCACAATCCAAAATTACTGCCATGCCCCCAGCCAGACTCCACCCTCTCAGGATGGATCTCACTGAGGTAACAACCTGTTAAAAATTTGATATGTGGTTTTGTGATTGAAATCTCTAGGCTTTCTAGGAGGTCAGGATGAGCTACCTCCCCCAACCTCCCTATACTTCTGGAAGCCTTGGCAGTTCACATCCTCACCCCACACCTAGCACCAGTTAAAAAGCTACTCCAGTCCTACCTTACGATAAAAATACTGAACACCCTGAACAAACATAGTGACCTCTTAGTACCTATATTACAAGCCATAATGTGCAAAAAGAAAAGAAGAGAGAGAGAGAGAGAGAGAGAGAGAGAGAGAAAGAAAGTGCTCATCATAGAGACAGATTGGGGGTAGGGTGTGGAGTATTAGAGGATGGTGTGTGTGTGTGGGGGGGGGAACCAGGGAACACTAGTGATTGATGGGAAATGTACACTGATGTAGGGATGGATGTTAGATCATGACAGAAATCCAATCATAAACAACTTTGTCTATCTCACAGATATTCAATAAAAGAATAAAAATGAATAAAACGTTATGTGGAGTTCATGTCCACTTTATTCAGTTTAATCAATGACTGAATAAATAACAGTATTCTTACATTAAAAATGTGAATATTAGAAGAAGTCAGAGAGGGAAATATTTCTTTTAACTTCACTTGTTAAGGAAGCCTACCTGAATAAAATAGGTCTCAAAGAATGAGAGTGTTTATATGTGCTATTTCTGTGTGAGAACAAATACATGCAAATACATATATGGAATAGAATATCATGCATGAAAACATTATATTAAATGGCTTATTACAAGCTGAAACTGCTCCACAATGGAAAACTTTAGGAAATTGCTAAATTTAGACCCATCTAATTTGACTGAAATTTATTTGGTTCTGTAGAGTCCTTGAACAAGGTTTTAAAAATTGAGCAGAAGAGGGGCTGGAGAGATAGCACAGTGGGTAGGGCGTTTGCCTTGCACGCGGCCGACCCGGGTTCGATTCCCGGCATCTCATATGGTCCCCTGAGCACCGCCAGGAGTAACTCCTGAGTGCAGAGCCAGGAGTAACCCCTGTGCATTGCTGGGTGTTACCCAAAAAGCAAAAAAAAAAAAAATTGAGCAAAAGAAATAGAAGCATACAACAGAAAATGGTTATATTTTTAAAATGGAGAGAGAAAACAAATGAGAGATACAGAATAATGAAAAAAAAAGAAAAAGAAGACTGTATTTAAGAATAGAGGTTTTAAAGAAAAGAAAGTAACATCTGTCAGAAGTTGAGGAGTTAACCTAGAGGACAGTTAAAAGGTCCTCACAATTAAGAACATAGAAGCATGAAAGTGAAGAGAAAATAGGGAAAAACTATCAATCTTAGTGTTCTAAATGTTCCTTTGATATATGTGTGACTTTTGAATGCACATTCATATTTGAGCCAGAACTTAAATCAAATGGAAGTTCACTGTACCCAAATTTGAATCCTCCAAATTTAAGTTTTATGTTCCTTTCTTTCTCAAAGACACAGGCATTTCATGTTCTGTTCATTCTGGCCTGTCCTCAAATTGACCAGCAGTTCTCCAAGACACAAATATCTTATTTTTAAATTTTTATTTTCAAAATACAGTTGTTTTATGTTCAATTTCTTTGAAGCAGTATTTTTCAGCATTCCACAAATAATAGTTATCCAAAATGCCTAGTGAGGAAGAAATATGGTCAAGTAAGTCTGGGAACTGCTTTAGGAAGTGTTAATATCCTAGATGTTATGGAAGCTCTACAGAAAATAAACTTATAATTTAAAATTTTAAAAATTGTTAACAGATCTCTTTTTATTGTTGTCATACAACTTTTATTGGCTCAGTGGTGCCCAGTTGCTTTAGTGTATTGGTGATGGATAATTAATCTGATAAGTACACACATGTTTGGTGGTAATAACTGTGAAAGAATAATTAACCTTCAAATAAATACCACATTTTCACAATTTATGAGATAATTCAGTGAAAAAATACAAAAGAATGTTCAAAGTGGAGGAACAATTGGGGAAAAAATTTAGGAGAGTATACAGTTTTAGATATCTCAAACCATACCATTTAAATAGAAGATAACTATTCAATGTCTTTGTTAGTTTTAGAATAAGTGCTAGATTTTATATTCTTTTTACTAGGGTTATTACTGTGTTTCGACCTCAGAACTACAATCAACTTTTCACACAACCTGAAGAATGGAAAGGAGGAATACAACACCACGATGACATCTTATGTGCTGCATTTTTACCTCCTCAAACTCTTGCTACAGGTTGACTGAACCTTTTCTTTACTATAAGTGATTACAGTTTTCCTTTCTTTAAAAAAAATCACTTTTTAATGGAAGTTTGTATTACTTCTTTAGTTTTTCTTTAAATTTGTTGAACCACCATGCGATATAGAGTTACTCATGGTTGAGTTTCAGTCATACAATTTTTAAACAATAATCTCTTCACCATTGTTAACTTGCCTCTACCAATGCCCCCTTCACTCACCAGCCTACCTCTGTGGCAGACACTTCGTTTTTCTCTTTATCTTTTAGGCACTGTGGTTTGCAACCCTGTTACTGAAAGGGTATGGTGCATGTCATTTTACCTCCTTTTAACACCTAATTATTGTTCAGAGTCATCACTTCTCACTATCATTGTCATAGTGGTTCCTTCTCTGACCTAACCTCCCTCCCCTAATTTTCACATATCTTCTCCTAAGAAGGATTCCTCTTGTCCTTTGTTTCTATGTCTTTGGTTATTTTTCTCCTACTGTGTTTCTTTATATCTTGCAAATGAGTAAGATCATTCTATGATCACCTACAGGTGTTTCATAATGGTAAATACACTAACTCTTGACATAATTAAGCTAAAGTAACATTGACTTGGCTGGAGTGATATTACAGCAGGTAGGGCCTTTGCCTTGGATGCGGCCGACCTGGGTTTGATTCCTCCGTCCCTCTTGGAGAGCCCGGCAAGATACCGAGAGTATCGCGCCCACACAGCAGAGCCTGGCAAGCTCTGCATGGTGTATTCAATATGCCAAAAACAGTAACAATATCTCACAATGCAGACATTGCTGGCGCCCACTCTAGCAAATTGATGAGCAATGGGAGGACAGTGCTACAGTGCAATATTGATTGGAGAGACTGGCTTCTTGAAATATCTCTAAAAATAAATTTTCAAAAGGTTGATAGGCATGTTTTGAGATACACTGATCAAAAATAATCAGAAAATGTTGTATTACTTCTAGCCAAAAAAATAAAATACAAAAACAAATCGCACCATATAATTGTGAACCTTATGGTTTTACAGTCTAACATTTGTATTGACCCCTGAAAAGTCATCAAATAAGAGAAATGAAAAATCAGAAGCATTATTTATGTATGTATATTTATATATACATAGTGTTACAGTATTTGGTTTACTGATCTATCTAGACTTAGCAATCTACTGCTCTCAGGGTATACCCGGTAATCTTTCCATTTCCACGATATGTAGGGAACCTTGCTTTACAACTGCTAAGAGCTCACCCCTGCAGGTGCTATCATATACTGAGATGTGATACAACTAAGGAAACTATAAGACTGAGACTCTGGTTGTTGGAAGGTGTCTTAAAATATTATAGCAATTGCTGAAGACTTAATCTCTTCATTCATTTTCATTCCATCACATCTGTGTGAAAATATTTTGTCAAGTAGTTGCAAATAAAGCACTTTAAATCATGATAGTTGATAAATACTACCAATAAGAATAACTGAAATATTCTTTATTAATCTACTTTCTTTGTAAGTGTACAACTTGTTCTTTTTAGACTAAACAGAATTTAGTATTTTTACATCTCTTCCCAAATTCTAAAAAGGAAACAACTTCTATATCTTATTCAAATTCAGCTATTCTCTCGGGTTCTTTAAGTGACATTCTACTTTGCATAGTGCTGCCCTGATTTGGGCTGGAGCCATAGACTGCAGGTAATGTGTTTGCCTTGCACATGGCTGACCCGGTTTCGATTCCTCCATCCCTCTCAGAGAGCCTGGCAAGCTACCGAGAGTATCCTGCCCCTACAGCAGAGCCGGGCAAACTCCCTGTGGTGTATTCGATATGCCAAAAACAGTAATAACAAGTCTCACAATGGAGATGTTACTGGTGCCCACTCGAGCAAATCGATGAACAATGGGAGGACAGTGCTACAGTGCCACAGTGCCATGAATAAACTGGACATACACTCTTCTTTCCAAGATATGCTTGGAAGACTTATCCTCACTATTTTTTTTTTAATTTTTATTAGTGAAACACCATGAGGTATAGTTGTAGACTTACAAATTTTTGTGCCTGGGTTTCAGAGCCTCACTCTCTTTATGTGCTTGTGAAGAATTATAAGAGAAAATTTCTGTAGAGAGTATTTATAAGTGTGGGAAGGAACATTTAATAAAACATACACCAGAGAGGAAATAAAAAGAATACCCATGTACAAACCCACACACTCACACACAGGGAGAGATTTAACAGAGGAGAAATAGTTTTAATTTGCTTGTCTTTATTCAATAAAGAGAAGTATGATAATGATAACACTGCTTATAATGTTAGTACTTATGCTCTTAGTTCTTATAATATTATTATAAGTAATTTGCATTTGTCACATTATGAGAGAAATACAATTATTAACCCAGTTTTATAGATGAGGAATTGTGGCATCAAGTGGAGTTAAATATCTTGAACAAATTATATAGCTAGTAGGTGGCAGTCCCATGAATCAAACTCAAGTTTTTTAATAGCAAAGTCCTTGTTAGTAACTCACATAACCTAAAAATATAAAATAATATCCATCATATTTAATACGCTGGTTTATTGTGAGAACTATAAATTCTAAATATCAATGAATAAGAATAAAAGTATTGTTGTTTATCTGTATACCAAAAATTATAGTTTCTAATAAAGGCTAATTTCATATAAAGTGTTAAGATAACCTATTTGCATTGATATTAGTTATATTTCTAATTTCCTGGGAATATATACTCTATCCTTATTCATACAGGGAGTTATGATGGAGAAATTATTCTATGGAACAATAGCACAGAAAACGCTCACTATGTCCTTCATCCTAATTACCAGAGACTGCTAAAATCAAAATTGGGTAAGCGCAAATGTGAAACTTAAATTCTGTCTTTGAGTCAAACCACAGTAGGGCTTGTTATTTTAATATTTAATGCATGTGAGAAATAAAGCTTGTTTCTAAATTATAGGTGATTGGTTGTAAGAACAAAAGATTAGTGAAAGCACTGTCTATTCTAAAGAAACTTGAGATTTACTTGCTTAACAAATTCTGCATGGCATGCCTTTTCATTTCTTCTTTTATACTGCATCAGCATTTCTGAATTACTGACAGCAGGGAGTAAAATTCTCATCTTTAACTAGTTTAATTTCTACCAATAAACTCTGCCAAAATACCTTCGTGTGAAACTTGAGTACCTCTTAGTAGAAAAATGGTAACTCATGTTCACTTATTTTACTGCTTAAACTCAATCTACAGCTAATATAATATTTATTGCACTTGGAAATCTTAAATTATGTCTTGCCTTAAAGTGATTTGAGGAGAAAATCTAGACATATATTTCATAGGACTTTAAATAGCACATGAATATTTTATACTTAAGCAAAATACATTACAATTTCCTTTTGCTCTTTTTAAACTTTATTTATTTATTGGTTTTTGTTTTTATTTTTCAGAGTAATATACACATTTACAAAGTTGTTTATGATTGGCTTTCAATCAGATAATGTTCAAATATCTGTCCCTTCACCAGTGTACTTTTTCCACCACCAACGGTCCCAGTTTCCTTCCTGCCTTCTCTTACTCCAACCCCCATCCCACAGTGGCCTGTCACAATGGCAGGCACCTCTCTCTCTCTCTCTCTCTCTCTCTCTCTCTCTCTCTCTCTCTCCTTCTGGGTCTTATGGTTTGCAATACAGATAATGAAATGTTATCAGGTATATCCCTTTCTCTGTGCCCTTCACCCCACACACACTCTTGTGGCAAGCTTCTTTATACTAATTTATTTAAATAATAGATATGCCACTCTTAATGACACCGGAACATTATATTAACTTATTTGGATAGACTAATAGAAGTTGAGCTGGACTGTAGGAGAGGATTGTTCACCATATTTAGTCTTTTGTCTATGAAAAACTAAGACAGTAATGCTAAAAGTACAAATACCAGATGAAGACACTTACACCTTATTTGATTGAAGTAAACAGGTTTGACATGCTTTATATGTAAATAATCCATTGTGGTTACCATGAAATATACATAGAGCTAGCAAAGAAATATTAATAAAGAAATAAGCTTTAGAAAAATATATGAGATATTACTCTTTGCATATAGAGATATTGCTATAGATTTATTGCTAAGAAAATCCTAAAACATCTTTATAGATTTTTATAAGTGTGTATAGACTTTGTTTGCTGTTGTTTGTTTGTCTGTGGGTCACACACGGCTGTGCTCAGGGCCTACTGCTGGCTCTGTGCTCTGGATCAATCATGGTGGGCTTGGAAGTGCCAGGGATGAAACCCATATTGGCCACATGTATGGTATATGTTCTCTCCACTGTATTATCACTTCATCCCTTAGACTCTTTATAATTTTGAGATGACTACTCCCCCTTTATTACTGTGTGTTAGAGAAGATATCATTAGGTACCATTAGGAATATTTTATCCAACGTAATTTATAAGATATTATATTAAATAATAATTTAAATACATTTAAAAAGGCATTCCAAATTATGCTCATTAAATTATTGATATTAATGATCTAAAATGCCACATTAATATCATATTTGTATGGAATATCTAAGGATATTTAAGATGCAACCAATCGCTATAAGTAAAGTTCCTATTAACTCATATCAAGGGAAATCATAGTAAGCATGAATGAATCTGCAAAACAAAAGTGAAACCAAACAATAATTCAAGTTGGGATTAAGGAAGTTAAAAGCAGCAGGCTCTGAGTTGGGAGAGAAGGCAGCTGGAATAAAGAAGGGATCACTAGTCAATAATGGTTGGAGGGATCTTTCGGGATGGGAGATGAGTGCTAAAAGTAGAAAAAGGACCAAATGTGATAGTCTCTCAGTATCTGTATTGCAAACCATAATGTTCCAAAGTAAAGAGACTATGGGAGAAATTGTCTGTCATAGAGTCAAGGGAAGGTTCGGGATGGGGTGGATACTGGGGACATTGGTAGTGGAAAATGTGCACTGGTGGAGAGATGGGTGTTCGGTCATTGTTTGACTAAAACTCAAACATGAAAGCTTTGTGGTTATCTCACAGTGATTCAATAATTTTTTTTTAAAAGGCAGCAGGCTCAGCGATGTTGACTGGAAACCCATTATGAGACTTGATGGAATAATTGGAGTTGTGATGTAATTTTTTTTAATAGAATTTTTTTGTAAAGCAGCTGTTTTGTTAAGGAATTTGATTGTCTCTTTTTCATAGATACAGAGCCTCAAACACTACTTAATAGCTGTTCCACTCACTCTAAGACAAAGAAGGCCACCCTGGGCACATGCTCTTTTGAAATTGACAGTGAGTGTAATAATGCTGTTATGAGGCTTTGCTTCCTTGAAGCAAGAAAACATACCGCAGTGACAGGTAACTATAAATAACATGTATTTATATTTAACTATAGACTTCTTCTGTTGCAGAACTATTCTATTGTACGATGTTGGAGAAGGGAACAATAAGATCAAGTGCAATCTATTTTTGTCTAGGTCTTGCTGAGTTTGACTTCTTAATAGTCTGAGTGACAGGAACCCACAGACCATGGCAGAAAAGATTGGGTTCAGGTGTACCAAATCTGAAACAAGAGCCAGACAGGCACCACCAGAAACTTATATAGTGCTTCATATATCAAGATTGGAGTGAGATAGAGAAGGAATCACCAAGAAAATCATGGAGAAATTGGTCGGGATGAGAGATGTGTGCTGAAAGTAGATAAAGGACCACATATGGTAACCTTTCAGTGTCTGTATTGCAAACCATAATGCCCAAAAGTAGAGAGAGAGTATAGGGAATATTTTCTGCCATGGAGGCAGGGGGAGGATGGGAAAGGGGGGTGCATTCCGGGGATATTAGTGGTGGGGAATGTGCACTGGTGGAGGGATGGGTGTTTGATCATTGTGTGATTGAAACTCAAACATGAAAGCTTGTAACTATCTCATGGTGATTTAGTTTAAAAAAAAGATATTAAAAAAATTGGGGTGAGAAAAGCCAATATGTTTGATATGGTAAACAACTGAAACTGAGAAACTGAGTAGGAGGGAGAAGAGGAATACAGCACCATCAGCACTTTGGAAATCTTTTCCATCTGTGATATCTTTCTAGAAGTCAGAGTCCTCGCTTGAATTTCTGCTGAGTTATGTACTCACATTGGTAGTGCTGCTCGCTATACAGCAGTTACTTAAAATAATGTAGAGGATATGACAATGTGCTTGGTCTCTCCCCACGCTTAATTTCAATACCTGTATTAGCATGGTGTAGAAGTAGCCATAATTTTTTCTAAATAATTTTTTTCTCTTAAGAAAAATGCATTTTTAAAGATTTCATATAAAACTTTTATTTGTAGTATTATTTCTTAACTTTAGGAAAATAATATATGTCTTAGCACAATGTACTGTGTTTGATAGATATAGATATATTAAATTCGATATAAATATGTACTGCCTACAAACATGAAGTATTATAAAATAATATAGACATTATGAAATAATAATAGAAAATGTATTGTGCTTTAAAAGATAAGACAAAATGAATCATATTATAAATCAAGTAATCTCAAAATTTAAGTTTATATTGATACTTGAAGAAAGTACATATATAACTCTATTTTCTATGTTGATCATACTTAATTTTCATGATTTTTTTCCTATAATTTTTTATCATTAAAAATCAGTAAACGAACACATCTACACCTTTTTGAAACATTGTGTGTATTTGCATTAAACTACGAAAGAAATTTCAAAAATATTTTCCAGAATTCACTTATACTTAGAATATAAACTATTATCCTGAAATTGCTAATTTCCTCAACAATAATTCTTCCTAATGTTATCAGTATTCCCAAAACTGTTTTCTCTCAAGCAGCTACATGCTATTAGTTCTATTTTAAACAGATATGATTGTTAATATGCAGCACATTTGTGAAACAAATTGGAAACCATCCACAGATCTATCAAATAATTGGAATGTTATGCAGAAGAATAATCTAGGTAAAGTACTTTTCAAAGGTTGATCTAGGAAACAGACTTTTCAATGGAAAATGAAAAGATTACTTGTAGAGCTATGAACCAAAAACATGTTCCAGAAGGGTTTGTATGAATTCACTGTGAAAATCAAAATATAATTTTAGAAAAAAATATCGTACAGCGGGTAGTGTGTTTGTCTTGCATGTGACCAACCGGGGCCGATCCTGGTTCGATTCCTCCACCCCTCTCAGAAGGTCCGGTAAGCTACCGAGAGTATCACGCCCCACGGCAAAGCCTGGCAAGCTACCTGTGAGGTATTTGATATGCCAAAAACAGTAACAAGTCTCACAATAGAGATGTTACTGGTGCCCACTCGAGCAAATCGATGAACAATGGGATGGGAGGACAGTGCTACAGAGCTACAAGCATGCCATTATATAAAGAACGCAATAGCTTTGTTGTTATGACTAAATGAATATATGCAATCATATATATCCTGTGCATAAAAAATTTAATTTCATGAATTATTAATTGCATATATTATTAATAAATTTAGTGTATTCAGAATATATATTTAAAGTAATATTTTGTATTATTTGGTATAGCGAATTTAAATCTGTTATATATAAATATATTTTATTATATTTCACTTAAAAATAATGATATAAAATGATAAATTTTAAAAAGGAATTAAATTTAGCACAATATTTTACATTGCCTACCTCTGATATTCAAGAGAAAACAGAAATTATAACTGGATTATATTCATTCCATATTTAATAGAAATGAAAGTGTGTTGATACCTCTTGTCTCTCCACTATGCTTATGCTTTCTACAGATTTATTTTTTTACTTTTCACAACAGTTTTCTAATTGTGCATTCTCTTACATGTTAGGAGGAGCGAACCTGGTATCATGTGGAGGATCTGGGTATGTTCGATTCTGGGATACATTTAAGAAGCAACTTCTGGCTGAATTTTTGGCTCATAGTGGAGCTGAGTTTATTATTATGTGTATTGATAAGCTGAACCAATACCTTGCCACAGGAGATCCTGACGGAAGGTTGAAGATCTGGAATATAGAAGTAAATTTTTTTTTTAAATTTCACATCATTTTGATTACTTTCTATCATGATTGTTTTCTGAATTCAGTCTTGTCTATTTCTTAGATAAGGAAGGAAGTTTAATTTTTTTTAAAGAAAACATTGCCTTATATTGAGCAGAGCTTTCTTTTCAAAATGGAGAAAATTATTTTCAATATTGAAAATCTTATGTGAATATATAATTATGTCAGTTGTCCAATTTGTGAATGCAATACTGTTAGTAAAATGTTGTTTAACATGAATAATTAGGATACATCTTATCCAAAATTTGACTTTTTTTTTCTTTTTGGGTCACACCCAGAAATGCACATCGGTTATTCCTGGCACTGCACTCAGGAATTACTCCTGGCAGTGCTGGGGGACCATATGGGATGCTGGGAATCGAACCCTGGTCGTAACGTGCAAGACAAACCCCCTACTCACTGTACTGTTGCTCCAGACCCCCCCCAATTTGACTTTTTAAATGAACTTTTTTTGGGGGTGGGGTGGAGAGTGTTTGGGCTACACCCAATAGTGCTCAGGATTTATTCTTGGCTCTGCGCTTAATGATCACTCTTGGTAGTACTTGTCACCAGCGTTCAAGGCAAGCAATTTAACCCCTATACTATGCCTTTAGCATCAGCAAACATCACTTAAATAGAGGACTGATGCTTTGTTCACTGTATATTTATTGAGTTAGTTTGGGAATTTGTGCCATTGATTATCTGCCCAATAATATTACAGTTTATCATATGTGGCTATGCATCAAAAGGCAACATCTGTAAAATAATTGACTTTGTTCATTTTTCTCTCCATCCTTTTTTTAACCTAATTTTGTCAAATTAGAAACCTTTAGAATTTTAATAGCAGTTTTATAACCTCTGTTATCATGCATAAATTATTCTTTGGCACCTGGGTCACTGACTATTGTTCCCAAAAGTCACCTTTTACATTCCCCTCTCAAGCTTTAAAAAGTGTTACGTCACTGTAATAGTTTCATCTGTAGTAGTTTAATATTCACAGTTTTTAGAATTCCAGTATTTCTTTTCACTCAGGAATACTGCCTTAATCCCAGCGAGGGCAAAATGACACAGGCTCCAACACTGATAAGATCACTTCAGCCTCATAAAGACCAGATCCTTTCTCTAGAAATGTGTGAGCCCGGGGGCCGCTTGCTGGTCATCTCCTCCTCTGCAGACTGCAACATCTGTGTGACTGATGTCTGCAGTGCTCCTATCTACATCTTTGGTCAGGTACCAATATTGCTTCTTCATTGTTCTAGTATTTACTTGAAATTTAGTATAAGTTTGTACTGATCCATTAGAATTTCATCAGCTCTTAATGTTAATTAGTCATGCAAGAACTGACTTCCATTTCTGAAGCTGTTGCTCTAGGCACTTCTTGTCCTGTTTACCGTTAACCTGGCAGTTCTATTAAACAAGGACATTGGAGAGATGGAAAGATAATGGTGCTCAAGATCTTACAGATTTCTGAGAAAAATTCCTCTTTTAAGACAAGTGAATTTGTTTCATTAAAAAAATTAGAAAAAATTCAATCCATGATGTTACTAAACAGGTGGTAATGACTAATATCACAATCATGATCAAAATCATCCTGTTGTTTGTTGATTGCCTCAAGCAGGCACCAGTAACAGTAACGTCTCCTACGTCCCAGCCCTGAGACTCTAAAAAGTGCCACATTCAGGGCCCTTTCAGGGTTAGGAGAATGAGACCCATCATTGTTACTGATATTTGGCATATTGGGTACACCATAGGGAGTTTCCCAGACTCTGCCGTGTGGGCAGGTTGCATTCGGTAGCCTGCCAGGTTGTCCAAAATAAGAATGAAATAATAAAATATTGCGTGGCCACGAATGCTTCCGGGACCTGGGTTTTATAGTCTCTGGGTCTTGGCCGTTGATGGGATTACACAGCGCTGGGAATCAGTTGGTGGGTGTGACCCCTGCCTACAGGAGGATGGAGGATCTGGGTGGAGGATGCAAAGCCCCCATCCAAGCAGGCTTGGAGATGTCAGCCCCGGGATCCGCATGCCTTTGTTCCTCTGCCGGTACCTTCATGCATGTGGAGAGTGGTCTCAGCATGATTGTGGCTGGTTCTGAAGGTCTTCGGCTGCTGGAGTTCTGCTTGGGGCGGGGAGGGAAACTCAACCTGCCCCTCTCCAAGGGGCCCTGGCGAGGACAGCCAGGCGCAGGGGCAGGAGACTGCCAATGACCAACATTCAATGACAAAATATAGAAAATTTAAGGATAAAGTATTACTTTTTCATCTTTTTGTTCATCATCTGGTTTACTACTCTGCCAAAATAATAATAGATAACGTGTGCTAAGTTTTATTTCTGTGTGAGAGTTCTACTTTAAGATCTTTGCATGAATTGTCTCATGAAATCTGTATAATTTTTTTATCCCATGAAAGAGAGGTTCTCTGTTATTCTGTTTTGAAGATGAGAAATAGATTCAGAATTTAAATATATTTTCTAAGCACATGAAAGCTAATAAATGATGGTTTGGCTTTGAACTCACCTTGCCTCATTTCAGTGTTCATACTTTTAACTCTTTCCTCCCAGGAAAATAAGTTCTGATTAATGGTTGAGGAAAAAGGAAATAAGGTAATGAAGAAAGAAAATATTCACATTTCAGTTTTTTTTATTTTTTATGAGAATTCTATTTCTTTTCTGTTTGTTCTTCAGGGAGGAACACACATTAGTTTGATCTATGTCAACTATTACTGTTGAAAATAGTATGTAAGTTTTTGCTAAAATCACATTCACTATATGGTAGTTGACATGCTCAACTAATCTCTTACCAAGAAACCAAGCCAAGATTTTTTATGTTTTATGAAGTAAAACTTCACTACCTCCACTACAGCCACTGCCACACTCCAGGATGCTTTCCGGACTATGCGGCTGCAAAGTAGCCATGCAACACATGATAAGACACTTAATACCCATCTTCCAGGATTGCCGCACAATACTTGATAGGGTTCAAATATGGTTTAAGCCATGGGAACACCTACAAGGGCGATTAGAGACCGCCCTAAAAGCCTCTATCCCTCTTGGAGAGCCTGGCAGCCAGCCAAGGGTGTCCCGCCTGCATGGCAGAGCCTGGGAAGCTACCCATGGCATATTCGATATGCCAAAACCAGTAAATACAATGGGTCTCATCCCCCTAACCCTGAAAGAGCCACCGATATGACAGCGTTAAAAAGGATGAGAAAGGAGAGGCTGATAAAATCTCAAGGAAAAAATAGGCTGCCAAAATGAAGAAAGACAAAAATGACTGTCTGAACTTTCAATGCGCATATGCTGGCATCAGATGCATCCATGGAGAACCTGCTGTTACAAGCGCAAAAGATCAAGTACCACCTCATTGGTCTGACCGGCACAAGAAGGCATCAATCACATCATGCCATTTTCGACACTGGAGAAGAACTATTCCTTGGAATATGCAACAAAAGAGGCATCGGAGGTGTTGGTGTCCTTGTCAACACGAACTTGGTCATGAGCATTGATTCATTAGAATACCTAACAACCCGAATAGGACAATTACACTTGAATAGATGTGGCTTACTGCCGACAGTTTCTATCTTTGTTGTCTACACACCAACATCCAATTAAAATGAAGGAGAGTTTAAGAAGTTCTACATAGAACTGTTCACCAAGAGACTCCCAAGTCCAATGTTTAGATTCAGCCTTCTGGAAATGTGAGTTACCATGGATATTCTTGGTTGACATGATGAACTCAGTCTCTTACCCTATTCATTCCATTCTAGGCCATGGGTCCTGATGTGAAGTTATTCTCGGTCCTATCTTGGTATTAAAATCACCAACAATGATCTTGTAGAAGGTGTGGTCTTTAGAACCATATCCACATGATAACCAAGCTCATTGAGGTTTCTCGGGAATTCAAGATGCCGGTCTGTCTAATGTTCATTGATTTAAAGAAGGCCTTTGATTCCTTTGAGACAGAAGCAGTCATCAAAGCCCTAGCCAATCAGGGCATTCAAACTCAATACATCAGGATCCGTGAGCTATATTACGAATTCATTACCAGGATCTCACCATTCTACAAGGAAGTGATCATCCATGTCAAGAGAGGGGTTTAGCAGGGTGATACCATTTCACCAAAACTCTTTAGTGCTACCTTCGAGAACATCATGCGATTACTGGAATGGGAAGGAATGATAGTGAAGATATACGGTTGGCAACTATACCACCTCCGCTTGCTGATGATGTCGTTCTAATAACACCAAATTTTAGCCAAGCAGCACAAATGCTGGCTGACTTCAACTGTGAATGTGGAAAGGTCAGACTACAGCTGAATCTCACGAAGGTAATGTTTATGAGAAATGGACTCGTTCCTGACGTTCCATTTGCTCTCAAGGAACAAATATCTTCGAATGCAACAGTTATGTGTACCTAGATTGAGAAGTCAACATGAAGAATGACCTGGCACCTGAGTTGCACAGGAGGAAGAGATTGGCTTGGAATGCCTTCAATAACATTGAAGGAATAGCTAAGAGGATGAAGAACCTCCAGCTCCAGACACATCTCTTTGATTCCACTGTTCTTTCTGCATTAACATATGCCTCAGAGACCTGGGCCCCACGAAAACAGGATGAGAACACTATTTGGTTCTCCCCAAGAGGAACTGAAAGAGCTATGTTTGGAGTATCATGCTTCACTAAAATGAGAAAAAAAATTTGGAGTTCCGACCTCCGTCGACAGTCAAGAATCAGGGACGCTGTCTCATTTGACAAGGATTCGAAAATCAGATGGGCTGGACATGTAATGAGATATGGAGATGACCACTGGACTAGAGTTGTTACTGACTGATTCCACGGGACATCAAAATATTGAGTGGCCTCCCACTACGAGATGGTTCAGACATTCTTTGTAAAGACCCTGAATGATCAGTTTGAGGATCTTTGTTTTCCTAGAACAAGCAGATGCCATTGGACTACACTAGCACACAATAGGGATGAATGGAGATGTTACCGGTGCCTGCTCAAGCAAAACGATGAGTAATGAGATGTCAGGTGATCAAGTGATGTAGTAAAAAGTAATTACTGTTCTGTGAAGTTAATTTCATCATGTGGGAAGAATCATTAGGATGTTGAAGGTGATGGTAAATCAGAATTTAATTTCGGAATGGAGACCTATGTTTTGCTGGGAATCAGGAATCTCAGTGGACACCCAAAAGATGAACGGTCCCATCTGTTCTGTAAAGTAAGTGAGTGTCAGGTATTTCCTAGGTAAACCATCTGAGAGTGCACTCACACACAGGCAGATGTGTGGTGATTGAGGCAGAATGGTTGCAAGATTGATGTTTGTCACACAGAAAAAGTTGGAAAACTTCTGGCAGCTAGAGAAGTTAATGCAATGTCAACATTGTTCTATTGTTCTATGGTTATTCGAAAGGTGCTCTGGTGTGAGATGAGGCAGAAGCTAGTATGACAGGTATGGAAACAAAGTTTATTAGAATAATGATGTCTGGAACATAGGTGTTCTTCGTATAGGGTCAAAGATTTATAGGGCCATCTTAGGCATGGAAATCATGCCATCAAACACAATTTGTGGCTAAATTTTATTTTCAGTAGAACTATGTGCTAATAAAACTATGTGCTAATAAAACTTATTTTTAGACTGATTATTTTTTAGCTTTGATATTTTCCTCAGTCATTTTATGAAGTCTTTTGTCTTTTGGAGAGTCCAGCCCTGAAAAATCTGAAAGAAAATAGTATGAATTTTTTTCCTTCTGAGACAGAGAAAGAGCCACTAGTACTGAGATAGTTTTAGAAAGTCAAGTCAGACAAAACTGGGCACGGCTGGGTTTTCTACTCCCTTCTACTTGAATTTTTTTTATATCACTCACATTTATCCAGCTGCCTAAAATATGGGTACTGCAAGTTCCAAGGGGAACCAGAAAACGGATGGAGCATGATGGAAGGGAAACAGCAACAGTGAATGCCTTTCTTTTGGTGTGTAAGAAGGATGTGGGAAGCAGATGCAAATACAAAGATAAGAAGGGTAAGAGCCTGATGCAGAAGGCAGGATGAAGAAGTTGAGACAAAAAGGAGTTTACATAACTTGTCCCAAACCGCACATTTCAAACTTACAAACTGGCAACAGAATCTTTTTTAATCACTTAAAAATGTGTGTAATTTTTTCTAAAAAGGAGATCTAGTTAGTATACATAACTAGAATCAGTACAATTTATGTCAAATTTGATTTGTATAATGCAGGAACTTTTACCCTGAATTTAAATATTGCATTTATCTTTGCATCAAAATAATTCCAGTATCACGGATATGGAATAGGGATAACAGTAATGCATTTTAATTTTCTACATTGACTCAATTTTCCAATCACATGCTGTCTGATGAAAGCAGCTAACATTTAATGCAATCTGATTCTATGTATTTGATGAAAGAAGTTTTATTTTTTGCCAAATAACTTTCAATCATTTTTTATAACTTAGTTATTCTCTGTTTTGTTTTTAACATATCAACGACAGTGATGATGCTTCACTTTAAATTAAGCCACATTTAAGCATGAGCCACTGATGGTACACATTGATGTCGATGTGTTAAGTTAGATTTTAAGTGTGATGTTATGTTCGTATTTCTGGAATGGAGATGTGTGTTTGTTAATGATATACCTGAGGAAACAGATATATTCCTAGAAGCTTTCAGATAATAATCATACAGAAAACAACATACCTTATGCACCTCTTTAAACACTATTTGCGCTATTTTGGCAGTCTGTGTTCTGATACTTCTACTTCATCAGTTTACTATATTGTACATAATTTAGGTGATCCTATTCACCCAGTCTTTAAACTTTGAGTTAGTCATAAGCCATAAGGAAAAGAAGACCAAAACATTTTCATTTAGTACCATAGGCTTAAATACAAATCAAATGAAAATATTTTCTATGGGATCCATTTTAGTTTTACTACACTTATAAACATTTAATTTTCAAAAAATTTCAGTAGAAGAGCTCTCTTTTATTTATGAGCACACCTTTCTCTTTTGTCTATGAATACTGAAATTGACTTTTATTTGCTTCAGTTCCTTTTATGAAGCTATGTTTCTAAACCTGTTGGCATTTTCCTTAGCAGATCTTTCTGAGAAGATTCAGTTAGGTATTCTGGGACAGCCTTATGTTACCCTTATGTCTCTTATGAGACATCTTCTTTGGTGCATTCCCATGTATGCAATGTAGGCTGATTTAAGATGAAGAAATTTATTTATCATCTAAACTATAAAATAGATTGTCAATGGAAAGTATTTGCTGCATATTTACTATTGTAGTCAATATCTGTGAAAATATCACACAGCATATATATTTTATGGGAAAAATATACTCAGTGATCAAACGTGATTTGAGATTTTTCAAGGAAATAAAGCGCAAAAATCGTGATACAAAAAAGGAGTTCTGACAGTTCTTCAGCAAAATTGTGCTTCTTTTTTAGTGAATATATCTCATTATTTAGATTTTTAAAAAAATAAGAATGACTATTTTAAGTTCATTATCTCTTCAATTTTTGTTGTTGAATTTTTATGTTATATAACATTTAAAATTGCATTTATTTATATTGTATCTTCTGTGGACTGTCAGAAATTTGTGGATAAGAACCATGTCTTACTCATGTGTGTGTCTGTGTTTTCCAATGATTTTTATTCAGATTAACACGTGGTAGAAACTTATATAAGTTTTTCAAGATAAAAAATATTATTAAAAAAGTATGTCTGGTTTTATTCAGGCAAAGCTTTGGAAAATTGAGACTTGCTTTTCCTTTCCTAAAAGAGATACAAATTTAATGAAAAGAGATATTCAAGAGCAAAAAATTAAAAATATTCCTTTGCTGTCTAAAGAGGAACTATGCCTAGACCTACTAGAAACTTCTTTTGATAAAAACAATGAAGATATCTCAACAAAGAGGTAAGTAATTTGTGGTTGCATCTAGATGTTAATTGAAGTCCAGATAAGACTTAGAACATAAAAGTCCAAATTTGCTTCTCTGTGGGATATCAAAATATTATTAACATTTGTCTAAAACTGTGGGTATCATTAGTTGTGAGTTGGGGGAGAAAGTTTGTATCAGGGATATATTTAGTTCTTTCTCACCAGGCCCACCTTGGCAGGGCCTGGGTGTCTATGATATGAAGTGCTGGTAATAAACTTGGGGTTGGTGAATGACATCCCACTGTGAGCTATTTCCCGAATCCTATAACTCATATGCTTTTTATCACAGGCATTTCTTACCATTCTTTTTTGTTTTGTAAAATATTACACAGAAAATAAAGTGTTCCTACATATTCCATCTTCAGCCACTATCTTATATCCCATACGGTGCCTATTTTTTTTATGCTGGAGGAGGAGTGTGTAGGGATGGGCACATCTAGCAGTGCTTGGTGCTTGCTCCTGATTCTGTGCTCAGGGATCACTTCTGGAAGCTCTAGTGGTTCATATGTGTGTCAGGGTAGAACTTTGGTTAGCAGCATGCAAGGTAAGTGACCTGCCTAATCTATTACCACTCTAGCTCCTAGAATTTTTAAATTTAATGTAACTGTGGGTTGGAGTGATAGCACAGTGGGTAGGGCATTTGCCTTGCAAGCAGCCAGCACGGCCGACCTGAGTTCGATTCCTCTACCCCTCTCGGAGAACCCGGCAAGCTTCCAAGAGTATCTTGCCCTCACGGCAAAGCCTGGCAAGCTATCTGTGATGTATTCGATATGCCAAACACAGTAACAAGTCTCAAAATGGAGATGTTACTGGGCCAGCTTGAGCAAATCTATGAACAACGGGAGGACAGTGACAGTGAATTGTAACTATAGCACTGTAGCACTGTCCTGTCCTCCCATTCTTCATCGATTTGCTCGAGTGACCACCAGTAATGTCTCACAACAAATTGTAAGACTTGTTGTTTCTGTTTTTGGCATATTGAGTACATCACGGGTAGCTTGCCAGGTTTTGCCATGGTGGTGAGATTCTCTCCGTAGTTTTCTGGGATCTCCGAGAGGTGCAGAGAAATCGAACCTGGGTTGGCTGCGTGCAAGGCCAATGCCTTACACACTGTGCTATCGCTCCAGACCTTTAATGTAACATACTTTACATTTACTTTACATTTACTTTAATGTAACTTGCTAAAATTGATTAAGCAGGCTGAGGGAATACTACAGTGGGTTAGACAATTGACTTGTACATGATCAACTAGGATTCAATCCTTGGCACCTCCCTCCTATGGCTCTCCAAGTCCTACCTCCAAATGATGATCCCTGAGCTCACAGCCAGGATCAATACCCAAACACTATCAAGTTTGACCCCCCTCAAAAACTTGTGAAACAAAGTTGAATTTTATTACCTATTAGCTGAATTTCATACTTGAAATTAGGTAGTACATTTGAAGTTCTTTGTTAATGATACATCAGGGACACTGCATTGCATATTTCCAAATTAGTGAAGTCTCCAACATTTTGGTTCCAATCTACCAATTTATCCTCCACTTATTAGTACCAAGTGTCTTTCTCTTATAATCCTCTCATAGGCAGGATTCCCTTGTACAACTAATTTCTGGACTAGTTGACTTCTTTTTGACTTAGAGTAAGCTTCCATATCTTGAGCTTCATGGTTGCGTCCCTCTTTCATACTTCTGTGAATAGTTCTAGTTTTATGCTTTTTTTCCCATGTTAAAAATCTTTAGATATAATGAATCAGTGGTCCTGTGTGTGTCTCTATGAATACCTCAAGGGGCATATGTGAGCTATTGAGTACTTTACATGAATATAGGCAAGAATTGAGGGGGAAGTTTCCTTTCTCTCCCAAAAGGAATAGGATTCAAAACTCATCTACAGCTCTCTCTGATACCTTCTTCTCTTAAAATTTCTGCATCCTTGAATGCTTATATCTGAGTCATGCCGCATATCAATTTTAAGGCAGTTTTCTTGGAAACATATGCCTGCACAAATAATCTGTAATCTCTGTTTGGAATATGGGAATAATTTTTCACTTCTTAATTATATTATTTTCTGACTTTTTGAACCTCTGGTCTCAGAGAGATAGAAAAGTCACCTTTAAACATCCTGCTGCACTAGTTATGTTTTGGCATTTGTTCTCTCATTTTCTTGAATTATGGTTTTCTGAAATGTCAAGTGGCATTTTCCTTTCAGGCAAAAAGATCCTTTCAGTTTAGAAATATAGCCTGACAATCTTGTATAATAATAGGATCCTAGGAATGGAAAGACATCAATGCTTCCACCTAGTCATCCACTCTATTTTACAGATCAGGAAATAAAGTTACTCCAGAGCAACACAAATATAGCATTGTTTATCTTCCTGTCACACTCCTTTGAAAGATGAAGTCAAGTGTTAGACATTTTTAAGAGTATTTTATCCAATATACTAATTTCTCATTCTTTATGACAATGTTGTTTTTATGTGGAAATTTTTATCTTTAGCTTTTATTGAACAAAACCATCTCAAATTATAAATACACAATATGTTAATTTTTAAACAGATTTTATTGGAATTAAAATTTGACAATTTAAACTGTTTACTTATAGACCTCATTAGTTCATGTCCTATAATTCCATGACATTTTATTTAGATTTTAAAAGTCAGTGTTGATGTGTAAGTTTTTAAACAAACTTCTCTTAAAAAATAAAATCTTTTGTTTTTCTACTAGATAAGTTAGAGTATTGGTTAGCTGTTGTTTCATCTTTGGCTATATAAGTTTCAGTTCTTGAGAGAAATTTTCAACAATGAAAAACATAATTATGCCTTGTACAATATACTTTCAAATATCAATGTATCACAAAATATCTATGATTTTCAAAATTTATGCCTATTCAATTCAGATGACTAGATAGAAATAATTCTAAAATTTGTACTATTGAGATAGCACAGAACAATGCCAATTAGTTATTACCAATTTTTTAAAAGTAGTTCAACTGTAGCCTTAGAATTGAATTGTATGTCTTATATATCCACACTTTTCTTTGTAACATGAATAAAATCCTATGTGGATCCTTTTCCACTATAGAAAAACTCATGTTTTCTCATGAACACATATTCCTCTCTCCCATCCATTTCTGTAAGTAAACTCCTTTAAATAGAAACTATTTCCTCCACTGAAAAAACCCGGTGTAGGAAAAGTACAAGTACAATCCAGTTTTCAAATGTAAAGTGCCCTTTCTGACATTCACCAGATCATTAATAGATAAAAGATTTTTTTTCTTTACAAAAGCATTGTTGACGGGGTGGGGGGGGGCGGGTTTACTGGGGATATTGGTGGTGGGAAATGTGCACTGGTGGAGGGATGGGTGTTTGGTCCTTGTGTGATTGTAACTCCAACGTGAAAGTTTGTAACTATATCTCACGGAGATTCAATAAAATAAAAAAAAAACATTGTTATGAATGTTTCCTTTTTCTAACTAGATTAATAAATTCAAGGAGACAATCATGTCTGTTCTTGTCTATATAAAAAATATTAAAGAATAAAAGAATTTGTGAAAGATTTTAGAAGGACTAAGGAAGAAAAGCACATTTGGTAAATTGTTTGACAGTGAAGGTGTATTTAGAGTGGGGGAAGAGAAAAAGAAATACTGAAAAGCAAAAAGTAAAAATGAAGAGCAAAACATTGAAGGAAAAATATAAATTAATTAAAGCTGTGTTTTATGTTAATTTAAATTTAAGATAAAAACTTCAGCATATATTATGTTGTGACGTATATAGAAATATCAGGTTTCTGAAGGTATTGTGAGAAATAAATAGGTGGTTAAAGGTTATATCAAATTTAAGTCTCATGGAGATAAAGAATAATATAAAATTTGAAAGTAATAGGAATTTATAATGCCAGTTAACAATTTATGCAGATAAATAGATTTTACTCTCCTTAGGTTCTACAAAACTCATATTTCATTAGAAAAAAAGAGTAAATAATTTAAGAGATAAAATTCACAAATGATATGCATTTTAAAAATTTATAGCATATTTGATTTTGATACAACATATTCTAATATAAAAATTATACGTGAATAAATAATTCGTATAACATAAACTTGGAATATTTTATTATTACAAAAATAACACATTCTCAGAAAATTTTAAAGTACAAATAAGCAGGAAATCAAAGATGAAAAGATGTAATTCATTTTAAAAGAGTTTCTAACATGTAGTCTCCCCATTTTATAACCTATCTTATTACTTTAGGATATATGAGCACATTTCTCTATTGATTACTGTGAATGTCCACAGATAACAATATTCATATAGGGCAAGTGTCATACCTGCTGTACTATCATTCTGGTTCCTGTTCCAATTTTTTTAAGGATATAAAAAAGCAATCATTCTTTACTATCACATGATACTTTTTTTTCTTTTTGGGTCACACCCCGTGATTTATAGTGGTTACTTCTGGCTCATGCACTCAAAAATCACTCCTGGTGGTGCTCGGGGGACCAGGTGGGATGCTGGGAATCGAACCGGGTCAGCTGTGTGCAAGGCAAACACAAGATTATTAGAACTTAATTTAGCAGGTTCTATAATACTCTGTGTAAAATTTATGTTATTCTGAATTAAAGTGATAGTAACATATGTATTGAGTACTCATACATTCCTGGCGCTAGTCTAAGTTCTTTATATGTTTTCCTTATTTAATTTTCCCTATAATTCTCAGAAAGTCTTTTGTATCACACTACAAATATGGTTTTAAATTTCACTGGGCTAGAGAGAAAACAAATGCATAAAATCATTAAAATCATTGCATATCAAGGTTTTTTAGGATAAATAAAACTACAATATTAGCCATTAAAAGCCCCTCCTAATGCTATGTTTTTCTAAATCTTTTGCATCTCAGCTTACATAGTGACTAAATAATATATTTTTATTTATAGAAAATAGCAAACTTGAGGGAAGCAATTCTAGTGTGTTTTGGAGAAAAA